AAACTCCTGGTTTCAAGCAATCCTCCTGCCTCAGCCTCCAGAGCAGCTAGCACTAACGGTGTACAGCACCACACCCAGCTAATTTTTTTTCTAGAGACAGGGTCTTGCTATCTTCTCCAGGCTGATTACTCCTGGCCTCAAGCAATCCTTTCACCTCAGCCTACCAAAGTGCTGGGATTACAGGCATGAGCCACTGTGACCAGCCTAAGCTGTCTTTGCTATGCATTCTCCAGGGGTATTTAGATGGTTAGAGTAGAGGTCACTTCAGCTATCCTCTGGAATTCCATTTCTGCCAGTTTATTCTGATCTTGGTGTTGGAGTATATATAATGACTGTGAAAGGGAACCAGCATAAAAGGTAATGCCTTTTTGGGAGAGGGGGACCAGTCCTCTAAAGCCATAACTAGGTGTGGCTTTTTTACAGAGGTAAGGCAGAGTGGAGGGAAGGCAGTAAACATGGCATCCACAAGTACTGGGTAGGTTACTCACTCTTGAAGTGTCAAAGTGCCACTTCATTCACTGGCTCTTTTCCATTGTAGACTTCACATGTATTTAACAAGTTGTAATGCTTCCAATTGAGTTAGGAGTTTAAGCTTTTTAAAATAATCCCAGTGAACATACTACAGTCAGTAGCATATACTCAGCTACCTGTCTGGCATAGACCAAAAGTAAAGGTGTAAAATAACATAGTCTTTTCCTTTTCTGGTCATAACCTCATTTTCGGTTAAGGTGGCTGTGTTTGCCAAGCTGTAATGAAGCTCCATATCTCAGCTGCTAAGAAATAACTTTCATGAGCCGGGATTTTTATCTTTTCAGAGTTCACCCAGGGCATGATCTTACCTACAGTGAATGGAGAATCAGTAGACCCAGTGGGGCAGCCAGCACTGAAAACGGAGGAGCGCAAGGTAAATGGTGATGGGGCAGGAGGCTGCCTGCAAAGGGAGTTGAGATACTGCCTCCCTAGTTCCACATCTCCTCTCCTCACTGATCCTAACCTCTAAGCCAGAGCAGTCTATGATCCACTCATGGTGCTTTTTAGAGTCTGCGATATATAGTCATCTACCCATCTTTAACCTGATTTTTATTCATTTATAGTAGGCCCCAGAGCAAGTAGAAGCCATGGGGAATTTCAAAGTCTCTTGATTGCATTTAACACAGGATAGTCTTCACTTACATAAGTCTTCAGTATTACGTCTTTTTTTTTTTTTTTTGAGACACTTTTGTTGCCCAGGCTAGAGTGCCGTGGCGTCAGCCCCGCTCATAGCAACCTCAAAATCCTGGGCTCAGGCAATCTTCTGCCTCAGCCTTCCGAGTAGCTGGGACTACAGGCATGTGCCACCATGCCCGGCTAATTTTTTCTATATATTTTTAGTTGGCCAATTAATTTCTTTCTCTTTTTAGTAGAGACGGTCTCGCTCTTCCTAAGGCTGGTCTCAAACTCCTGACCTCAAGCGATCCATCCGCCTCAGCCTCCCACAGTGCTAGGATTACAGGCATGAGCCACCGCGCCCAGCCTCTAATTTTTTATTTATATATATATATGTGTATGTATGTTTAGTTGGCCACTTAATTTCTTTCTATTTATAGTAGAGACGAGGTCTCACTCTTGCTCAGGCTGGTTTTGAACTCCTGACCTTGAGCAATCCACCCACCTCGGCCTCCCAGAGTGCTAGGATTACAGGTGTGAGCCACTGCGTCTGGCCCAGTATTACGTCTTTACGTCTCACTGAGGTCTTGATATTTCATACTTTGATATTAGAGGTCTAATCAAGTTACCAAGGGTTAGACTTCAGTCATCAAGAACTTAATCTTCCATTTACAGAGTGCATAGATGTTTTATCTAGATATGGAATTTGGGGGATTCAGGCTCAGCACTTGGTTTGGAGCCTTGTTTTTTGTCAGCACAGTGAAGGATATTCTGAAAGTGGGGAGAAAATTGCTTCTAGCTATTTAAGCATAGAAATGAGAATAAGAGTCTTCCTCCTAGAGTGGTTGGAGGTGAAAATTTTTGTGAGAATGAATGGTAGGTCTGTCCTTGAAGCCATATCGTTGAGATTGTACCATTACTCTAAACTATCTATTTTCACTGCCTTTTTCATAGGCTAAGGCTGTTCCTTCAAAAACCCAGGCCAGACCTGTTGGTGTCAAAATCCCCACTTGTAAGATCACCCTTAGAGAAACCTTCCTGACATCACCAGAGGAGCTCTACAGAGTGTTTACCACCCAAGAGGTAAGTAAGATCTTACCCTTCAGTCCACATGCCATCTGATATTCTAGGTGACTTGGGTTGTGGGCACACCTCAGCGGCGTGCAGAGGAGGTACTGATGACTGGAACCATGAAGCATTCCTGGTATACGTAGAGGCATAAGAAAAACAACCTTGTTCAATCCACCCATCAGAGTGGATTTTTGCTCCCTCTCTCTTTTGTTTTTCTTCTGTTCTAGTTTTGGGTCATGTAGGTTGGACCCACTAAAATATCAATCTTGTTAGAAAAATGGGTCCCAGGTCATGGCATCATAGGATAAGAAAGAATTATTGGTCTCTAGTGGAAGACAATAGAGGGAGACCCACTGTGCAGAGCAGCATCTTTGGAAATGAGAGTTGAGACATTCAGGCTTCAGCTGGCATTTGTCCCTGGGTCCACCCGAGAACCATGTTGTTTTCTCCATGCCTTTTTTTCCCCCTTACAGCTAGTACAGGCCTTTACCCATGCTCCTGCAATGTTAGAAGCAGACAAAGGTGGGAAGTTTCAGATGGTAGATGGCAACGTCTCTGGAGAATTTACTGATCTGGTGAGTATCTGTTGGCTCCAAACCCCGGTTGTATTCTCTTCTCTGGTCAGATGAGTGGCATTTCTCCTTTTCTCAGCTCTGTCGATAAATTGTAAGGCTTTAATCTCTTTGGTTAATAAAACCATGTTTTGTTTTTCAAAAGAATGGTGTGATTTGAATTCTCTTGCAAGCAATACTACACAGATGACAGACTCTGTAGAAAGGGCACGTGGCTAATCCTAGCTGGGATTTGGGTACCTTGTAAGTCTGTAGTATAGACAGACTTATGCTTTTTGGTTATTTTTAGGTACCTGAGAAACATATCGTGATGAAGTGGAGGTTTAAATCTTGGCCAGAGGGTAAGCAAGCATATTGGTTTATTGCCATTAGCCCCAGTTTTTCTTTTTGCCCTAGTCTTAACCCCATATGGAAACCCTGAATCTGAAACAGCTCCCTCCCTTTCCCTAGGGCACTTTGCCACCATCACCTTGACCTTCACTGATAAGAATGGAGAGACTGAGCTGTGCATGGAAGGCCGAGGCATCCCTGCTCCTGAGGAAGAGCGGACGCGGCAGGGCTGGCAGCGGTACTACTTTGAGGGCATCAAACAGACCTTTGGCTATGGTGCACGCTTATTTTAGGGCTAGCAGCAGGGGGCTTCGGCCTGCTCAACACTTCAGTCCTCGCCTGACTGGGGCTTGTGACTCACAGGATTGCACCATCCCAGCCGCTAACTTGGGGCCGGAGCCCCTTCCCTCCACAAATACCTTGGGTTTGTGCATGTTTTCTGCTGGGTGGGGTCAGAGGGCAATTTCTTTTATGTGTACATACGCTAAATAAACCTAATTTAAAAAACATGCATGTGTGGATCCTATGCTGATGGGTGCCTAGTATTCAGAACTCCCTTGAAGGTTCTGAATTCCAAGAAACAGGATGGGTTGGAAGGTCTCTCTATTTTGGGTAAGTATAGGTAATTAAGAGACAGGAAGGGAGGCTGTTTCTCACTACCAGGCATTCCTGAGTTAGTCTCCTTTCTTACTAAATAAGTAAGGGAGGGTTGGTGCTCTGGGTAAACAGTACTAACCAACACTATTGCTAGTGGAGGCTCCATCCTGGGTGTTTTCCATTTTATGCACTTGCCTCTTATGCACTTACAAAGAGAGATTATCGGGTGCTAGTCTGAGATGAGGAAAGATGGAGATTCCTAACTTGTGGTGGCTTCTATTTATTGAGCTGTTATGTAACTCATGCCTGTAGTCCTAGCTACTTGGAAGGCTGAAGCAGGAGGATCACATGATCCCAGGAGTTCAAGGCTGCAGTGAACTACGATTAGACCACCATACTCCTGAGGAACAGAGACCCCCATCTCAAAAAAAAAAACCTTGGATTTTTCTTTTTTAAAAAATATTGTTAGATATGATGCCCTTGTAAAAAAATAAATTTAAAGTAAATATTTTAGGTGAGCCTTGGATTTCTTAACATATCCCAGATGTAACAATTGATACTAAGCAGAGTTGGAAATTTGGAATAAGGACTAACTACAGAGCCTATGCTCAAGTCTGAACCACTATGCTTGCCGCCTTACTGCATATAACCCCACAAGTTTATTATAGCAGTCTGAATCTGACGGGTTCAGACTGAGAACCTGCCGCATTTCTAGTATATTAAGTATCCTTCCTGGAGTAGAAAATTCCAGGCTCCTACTACTCCCAGAAAAAGAACATCAACATCCTTTGAGGTTTTAGAGCAGCCGTCCTCAAACTGCGGCCTGCCAGGTGTTTTTGCTGCTGCCTGTCCTGCTTAGCAGCCAATTCCTCCTGGGCCCACAGTGCACATGTGTGGAATGTGCCCTGCACTCTCCAGCGGTCTGAGGGACAGTGAACTGGCCCCCTGTTTAAAAAATTTGAGGACCCCTGTTTTATTTTTTATTTATTTTTTTATTTTAGCGTATTATGGGGGTACAAGTGTTAAGGTTATATATATTGCCCATGCCTCCCTCCCCCCTCGAGTAAGAGCTTCAAACATGTCCATCCCCTAAACGTTGCACATCTTACTCGTGGTTGTATATACCCATCCCCTCCACCTCCCGACACGCGATAAATGTTACTCCTATATGTTCACTTAGGTGTTGATCCGTTAATACCAATTTGCTGGTGAGTACATGTGGTGCTTGTTTTTCCATTGTTGAGATTCTACTAAGTGAAGTATGGGAGGACCCCTGTTTTAGAGACATGGTTTTGCTCTGTTGCTCAGGCTGGTCTTGATCATTGGCCTCTAATGATCCTCCCACTTGAGCCTCTCGTTACTGGGCTTCAGGCGTAAACCACCACACCTGGCTCCTTTTGAGTATTTTTAAATGTCTGGTACTATTAAGTTTGTTGAGTACTGACCATATGGCAAATGTTGGGGATCATTCTAGTGGAATTAGACTGCCACACTGCAGGATGAGGTAACTACCTGAACAGAGTCACTTTCCTGGATAAGCCTTGCCCTGGCTTCCTGCACTCCAGCAAGTCAGTACCCTCTAAGCCAGTCACTACTTCCTGCAGCTATAGCTATTTCCTTAATCTATTTTTGCCTGTTTTATTAGGTGGCAGCAAGGCCTGCAGGCTAATCCTACCAACATGACTTGACCAAAACTTTGTAGTTAGAGCAGAAAATCAGAGTTCTGACCTGGATCGTTTAGACCCTCCTGCTCCCAAGCCAACTTTGGCTTGAATTAGAAAACTGCTGAACTAACTATTCACATCTAATTCAGCATTACCCCTGCCTCTTAAGGATGCAAAACAATGCCTTTTGATGAAGAACCTGGACTCATGTAAATCAAATCAATGGGCCCCTCCTAACATGGCCTCCTATACCGAGACCATTAACAAAAAACTGGAGCCCTTTCTTTCACACCTGGCTGGAAAGTTACCTGTTCCAGAATATTCAGGAAAAAATCTGAAGCATAGATTACAAACATCCCAGCAAAAACCACAATGCCGGGCTAAGAGCCTGCCACACAGCACACTCAGTAGCAGGAACGTCCCTAGTACTGATGGCTATGGAATTCTTCCCACTGCCATTTCAGTTAGCCGTCTGAGCCTAAAAAGCAAAATGGTGTAGCTAAAAATAAAACCATGGACTTGGACTTGGATTTGAATGATAAATTTTCCACTTACCAACAAATTAGACAAATTTCCTTACCGGTATAATGGGTATAATAGGTACCATCTGAGAGCATCTGAGATGGTGTAGAAACACTGGCACCTGGCGTCACTTAGCAAGTGGTGCCTGCTGACTTTGGACTCGAAAGCCCAAGTGTTTTCCCTTAAGCCAGAAGTGATATTTTGAAAAGCTGGTTAATTTTAGTCTGAATGTCAAACATTAGACCAAGGGTTCTCCATGCCTAGGAACCACCTGGGAGAACCTGTTGCAGAAAAGTAGACTCTACTCCTAGGGAAACTTACTCAGTGGATGTGGGGTGTGGCCTACAAACATTTTAATAAATAGGGGATTCTGGCATTAGAGATGCACTTTGAGAAGTACCTTAACATGCTAAGACAATCTCATTGTAACAGAGGAGCCAAGGAAGCACATTTGGGTTCCCCTTGTGAATAATGGGGCAAAGGATCTGAAACATGCTGTCTTCCAGGAGAAAGAGGTCAGCAGGCTCTGTACTGTTGGTTATTTTAAACCCTAGTAAGAACTCAATTTGAGCAGTATTCTATACGAGGCAAACTGTGGGGGAGAGGGGCAGAGGATTGGGTAAAACCACCTCGATGGCTGGGACGGCTGTTAAGGAGGAAATAGACCATGGTGGCCACAGATGGCTCCTGGTGTTCGGAGCAGGAAGAACAGCAATCAAGCCAGTGATGTGACTGGACCAGATGGGGTGCAGGGGCCCTCTCTGATTTCATGGGCCTCCTCCTGGCTCTGAGACCAGGCGCTCCTAAAATCCCCCTTTACCTGGTTCAGCGACCCCTTCATTTGTGCTGCTTCTCACACACAGGTGTTCCTTAAGCCTGCCGCCACCTGTGCGGTGTCCTTTGCATGGCTTGCATAAACACTATTTTATAGCCGACCTACTCCCAGCCCCTTTTCTTTAGTTTCTCTCATCTGTGGCCTGACATGGTAGCAATTTAGTGTGTCACTCAGATTACAGACTTAAAATGGGGCTGGCTAGATTCTGTCTGGGTAATGGACAACCACTGGGTATAGAGTAAATATTGTGTTAAGTCCAAGGTAAGCTGTATTAGAAAGGAGGAGAATTAGCAGTTCCTGTGAAAATAGACACTGGGATGACTCTATCTTGCTATTTAAAAGGAGCTTCTGCTAAAAAAAAATAATAATAATTAAAATGCTTGTGCTAATCCTATTGAATTCCTAAAACGAGAGAATGAGGGTGAATATGGCTCCCATCTGGTGACCCTCGCGATCCTGATCTCTCTGACCCTATAATATTCTAGTTGCACTAAAGTATTTTTAGACAGTGGCCCTGGACCAGACTAATAAGCTTACCTTTAGATGTGATCGTAATTGGAAACATACAGTTCTCTGAGCACCAGGTGGTGGCTCTGGACATGCCTTCCTTCACTGCACTTCCTGGCATCTCTCTGTCCTTCCCCAATGTCGACAGTGACAGTGGAGTATCTGGTAAAGGTACCAGCTAGGGCAGAGCACAGGTCCACCTCTCACCTCGTAGGTGCAGTCCTTAGGGTGACTCCGCGTCAGATCCCCTCGCAGCAAGTTACTTGAGGACTGGGGCCACTTCCTCGTGGAGTAAATGCAATTTACTTCTCTGACCGAAGTTCGGAGGGAACGTGCAGTGCCTCTGAGGTCCAGCCAGCTCCTTGGCAGCCCTTAGAACAGGGACAACTGATGTTCACAGTCTAACCCTGGCATCCCAAGAGCTCTGTCTGCCCAGCTGGTTCAGGAAAAGAAAAGGAGCTTGGCTGTGGGTTAGGTAAACTACAAACACAATTTATGGGGGCTCAACTCTTGACTTGGGCCGTGAGCAAAGGCTCCCTGTACTGCCAGGGTCCAAAATTCTTCATCAGGCAGAATTTGAAAATAAAATGCTTTATTGCTGAGGATCCTAGAGAGCTTCAAGGCAGCTGCCTAGGACTGAAGCCCCCTACCTTTTGGTGGCTTTTGTGAACAGGGACAGTTAGGACTTCAACATTTCAACCCCACAGAAGGCAAGGAAGTGTGGCTTGGGGATGAGGGAGGGCAGGGAAGAGGCACGAGGTGTGCTGGGAGAACAGACTATGCGTGTCTCTTCCCAATTCTGAGTTCAGAGCATTTGGCGATGTTGGGAGCTTGAAATGGGCCATTGCTGGGAGTGTTTACAATGGAAAGGTTGCCCAAATGCTACAAATCAGCATTTTCCCTCCATAGAGTTGGGTGACCATCACTCCTGGTGCATGACACACCATCCTGAGCCGGTTCTGAGCCCATTTGCTGTGCCACCTTCCCACTCAGGGCCAAGCTAGCTCCCAGCCCCACACATTCCTACAATCTGGGCAGAACAGAGGGGCCTGAACAAAGGAAAGGGACCGGAACTGCCGACCCACTCCCTGCCTGGAGTCAGCCTCGCCCCAGCTGTCACATTGCCCCCCAGAAGGTGGCTTGGGACTGAGGACAAGCCTTCTGTGCAGTGGCTCCTGGCAGGACGTGGGCAAGAAGGGTGCGTGCACCACCTGGAGATGGGGAGCGGTGGCCACAGGTGGCATGTCAGCCCAGCAGAGGGCAGCTGTGATGACGAGCACTGGCTGTCCTATCGTCCCCCTGCCCCTCCTTGGCTGAGCGATTCAGGCAGGTCCAGGGAATCAGGACGTGTCCTGTGTGCAGAGCCAGGGCAGGAGAGCCCAGCTCTGAAGGAAAGGGAGAATAACGTGTGGCCAGCCTGGGCATCTCCCAGCAGGCAGGAGAGGAAGGCCCTGCAGACAGTGAGTACACATGCATTTCCAGTGCAGCCCCAGGGGCCTCGGGGGCTGGGCTCCCTCCCTTCACCCGGGGCCCTATACCCCCTTCAACCTTCTGCGCAACCCCACCGTGACACCTGAGGCCCCGACCTGCCTCTCGGTCACAGGCAGAGGGCACGCAGCACCAGCCCAGCCTCACCCGGTGAGCCTTGCTCTCACTGGGCCTGGGCAGGGGTGAGAGGGCCTGCAAGGAAAGCTCTCCCTGCGGTCTCTACCCAGCAGCCCCCATCAGTACTCCTTGGCCTCCTGCAACTGGGCCAGGTACTCCTCCTCTGGGGGGTTGTTGGCGCAGGCCCGGCCGTTATTGGGGGGCCGTACAGCGTGGTAGCGGCTCCAGTCCCCCTTACACAGGATCCACGGCAGCGTGTCCACCTTGAAGTGCAGCTTGGGAGAGAAGTCGGTGCTGACCAGGTCGGGCGCCCCGGCAGCCGGCTGCCCTGGTCATAGCAGCAGTGCTGGGCGGCCGGCACACTGCTCTCCACTGACAGCAGGGAGCGCAGGCAGAAGTGGGGTGGGCTGGTAAACATCAGGCGCTTTCCAGGGCCGCTGGCGTCCCTCCATCGGAAGCTGCGGCCCTGGTGCGAAGCTGCGGCCCTGGTGCTCATCCTGCAGGCTCACGGCACTGTACCCGGCCTCCAGTGGGTACCTGCACGGGCAGCTGGGCAGGTCCCGCAGCACCTGGCTCAGGTACTTGGCTAAGAAGTCGTTCTTGCAGTTCAGCTACTTCTCACAGCTGTCCACATCTGCAGAGGGCAGGGAGGTGCAGAGGGGAGCTGGCCAGCCCTGTGCTACCCCACACCACCCAGGCAACCCAAAGCAAGAAGCTGTCACTCAGAATGGGCACGGCCAAGGGGCTGGAGCAGCAGCCTGGAGGCCCTCTGCTGTGCCAGGTGTCATCTCTTTAGGCGCTGAATGGTGGAAAACAGCTGGTGTGGGTGGGACAGGTTCAGCAGTTTGTAGCCAACTGGTGAGAAGTGTTTCGCTATTTTAACCACCATGTTCTTAATTCTGCCTTTCTCAAGCCGCATGACCCTGGGCGAGTCACTCTGCCGCTCAGGGCCTCCTGCCTGCTGCGGAGGCTCCCTCTGTCTACGCCGCCCTCCTCCCTTCTCTCCACCTTGGGGAATGTGACTTCTCTGATTCTGCCCACAGAAAAAACAAACTGCTCTTTCCTCTCTGCTCCCAGACCTGCAGGGCCCTCTTTGCAGTTCAGCGCTCGTGAGGGTCATGTGTGTCTCTTTACCACGAGAGAAAAGCTCCCCTGGGCCAGGTGCCAGGCCTCTGTCCCCAGGGAACCCCCCACCCCAGCACACTGCTGGGAGCGTGATACAGGCTCAGCAGGCGTCCGCTGTGCTGAGCACAAGATGAGGAAACCAGCAGCGCCTGCCTGCCTTGCAGGATGCCAGTGAGACCGAGAGACGTGGGCTCGGCGTGTGCCAGCGGAAGCACGGCCCACTCCCAGCCGCCTGGAAGGGGCAGTCCTGGAGTTCTGGCCCTGACTCATTTCTGACAGCATCACATTCCCCTCCCCAGACAAAGAGTGAGCAAGGAGTGGAAGTCAGAGTGTCCCCACCCCATCCTGCTCCCAGGGAGGATGTGCCCCACCGGGTGATCTCTAAGCTCTGTGGCTCCCATCAAGACCTTCTTCCCAGCAGGAGTAGGAAAGGCCACTGGGCCTGGCTCAGAAATGCTGGGGCTCCCAGCTGGAAGATGTAATCTCTGCCACGATGCTCCACCCTCCCGAGAGAGGTTCTCCCCCAAACTCCCAGGGGCAAGGCCTAGCTCCCCACTCACCTGGGCCAAGCAAGTCCGTAGCATTGTGGGCGAGGGACTGCCACCCCTCACTAGGGAAGCCCAAGGTGTTCTCGTCCTCAGTGCCTTTGGGAAGAGAGGAGGCCAGGCTGGTGGCACCCCAGGGCACCTCTGTGCTCCTGTTGGGGAGCCCAGCCCCCACTAGGCTCTCAGTGCCCACAGCAGCTGGGACAGGCCTGGGGCTAGGCAGACCCACCGTGTTTGTGAGCTTCCTCCATCCCCTCTCCCAAGCCCACCCCTCGTACAAAGGTACATGCCCACATGCCCAGAGGACCAAGCCCCGCGTCTAAGCCACACCAGCCACTTCTATGCAGGGCTGGGGCTCGTCTCACCAGGACAGGGGGGCAGGTCGCAGGCACAGGACTCGGTGGCAGTGCAGGCCTAGCCATAGGGCCGAGTCCTCCACTGGCTGCCGCTGCTGCAGCTCCCACTGCAGGGAGACCAGGGGCTCTGCTCCTCCCGAGGCTCACAGTCTGGGTCAAAGCAGGGAGCTGGAGGTGAGTGAACATAGCCCACAGCACACACAGGTGCAAATCAGAACAAGGTACCCCTTTCTGTCCATAGATGCAGCCCATGTTAGGGCTCCCAGCCTGGTGGATGAAGCATGAGCTGGAGTTCAGCCCCCACCTGCTCTCTCAGCTGTGTACCCTTGTGCAGTGAACAACCTGTGCAAGTGTATCAAGTAGCCCTATGGAGACAGCACAACCTGCAGCCACCTGCTCTCTGCAAACACAGTGATGAAGAGGAAAAGATATCTGGGGTTGGCAGCCACCTGACCACTGCCAGTGTGACCTCTGGCAAGTCTGCCTCTGTATCTGAGCTATAGTTTTTATGTAAATCAAAACCAGCGGTGACAATACTTCCCTGGCACTGGGGATATTTAAGAATTTCCCTGCAGCCCACATTAGGGACCCACTCCTGACCTGAGGGAGCTGCAATCCACCATGGCTGGGCCTGCTATCCTCCACTGTGCAGGACTTGAGGCCCAGTGCTCTCTGGGTCTCAGGAACCCCAAAATACTGACACAGCTGGTTCTCGCCTCACTTCCTAGGCAGGCCAGAGCAGGCTGGCACCAAGAGTTTAAGGAAAATTAATGGGAAAAGAGTTGAAAGTCATGGAAATTTTCTATTAGTTCACATTATTCTGGTGGCCCTCAGTCTTACAGGCACCCCGGTTCAGTGATAAGGCCCCAGGGATCTGGGGAAAACAGCTGCAACCGCATAAAACATAAAACTCGTCTGCACCCAGAGAAAACCTGAACCATAACAATATACAAAGTGTTCTCTACAACAACCTGTGTAGTAAAGATTGTATCATTCCCCATTTTACAGAGGAAGGAACTAAGACACAGAGAGGTTAAGTAATTTGCCCAAGGTCACTCAGCTGGTAAGCGGCAAAGCCAGGATTCAAACCCACACAATCTGAAAATAAGGTCAGTTGTAAGTGGTGGGATTATAACATTTCAGTTTGTTGGAAACTCATAGATATGAATAAACACACTATTAACAAACGTCTTTGGCTTAGGGGATCTCAGGGCTGTTGTGAGGGTCAAATTTTGTTTGGGAAAAATTAAAACTTTGCAAGCTTTCGGAAATGTTACTTTTGAGCTGATGATGGTGTGGGCACAGGGCCCAAGCTCCTGGCCTCCCCAGCTGCTCCTGCCTGGGAAGCCTCAGCCCTCTCCCCCACCCCATTTCCACTCAGGGCCTGCAGGGCGGCAGCCGGGCGATGCCAAGATGGGGATATTCACCGTGGCTGTCCGAGTACTTGAAGGCCCAGTCCCTGGGGGCCAGCCAGCCCTGGTCCTAGCTGTCTGTGGCCCCACTGGACCAAGGCTCCTCCTCCTCCTCATCTTCCTCCTGGTCCTCACCCTTGCTGTACTCTGCAGGGTAATCCTCCTCTTCCTCCTCCTCCCACTCTTCCTCTTCCCCTGGGGCTCTGCCCTTGAGACCGGCACCCCCTTCGTTGCCTCCCAGTAGCCCCAGAAGACAGGCCAGAAGAGCTCCTTGCTGGGCAGCCAGCTAGGGGCACCCTGGGACCAGCGATGGCTGGGCCCAGCCAACAGGTCCATCTCTACCTCGGCCTGGGAGTCCTCCACCACCTCGATGGTCACCTGCAGCGGGACAGATGCCCAGCCGGCCAGTGAGGGAGGGCTCAGAGCTGCACTGCAAGGAGACAGGAGGTTACAGGTCCAGGGCCAGAGACAAGAGGCCCGACCTTTCCTCCAAACCGGCTGTCTTCTCTTGGCCTCTTAGGGCACGTGGGTCACAGTTTAAGGCCCAGCTGTACATCAGAATCCTGCCTGACCCCAGACCCCAGACATGACTGAATGGGTCTGGGCTGGGGCCAGGCACGGTGTTCTGACACGTGCCAGGGTTGTCACCCACCAGTTTAAGAGAAGCTGGCCTGGAATTCTGGCTCCGCCAGTGTGCAGGCTGCCTGGCCTCGGGAACCACTAGCAGCTCTGGGCCTCCATTTCCTCAGGATAATGCCAGAAAATGATAACGATGGACATCAAACCCCACAGCAACCTCAGGCGGAGCTCTCTCGCACCACATTATGGATGGAAAATAAGTAAAATAAAATCATTTATGTGAAATTGAACTTCAGAAAACATTATTTGGGGCTGTTATAAAGTAACGTGAGGTTACTGTACAAAATTTGGGAGAAAAAACCCAGCAAGATATAAAGAAGAAAATGAAAATCACCTCTATTCCATCACTGATAGATAACCTTCCAGTTTATGTGTGTGTCTGTGTGTGTGTAGGTAGGTAGGTAGAGAAAAAGAGAGAGAGATATACTTTTAAGTAGTTTCAGAATGTTATGTTCTATACTTTTGTGGTCTTTTCTTTCTCCTCTTTTGGTGAGAGTGTTTTGAAAACTGTTGCTGCTACACAAACATGCAGAATTATCAGCATCAGGGATTCACAACAGGCTGTGAAGTCCGCAACTGGAATTCGGCCAGCCCCTCTACTTTCCTCTCCTGTAAAGCGCTTCAGGTGGCCGTCCCCATGCCATCAGCCCACCCCATCTGTGCTGAGCCCCTTCTGCAGGGGCCTGCAGTAAAGGGTTGGGCCTGGTTGGGGGTCAGACCCTCACTCAGGCCTTTTCCGGGAGGCTTCTACCACATTCCTGGAACCCTCCCATAGCTTACGAAGCATTTCCCGCTTATTTGGTCCTCATGTCAGCCCTGCCAGGTTGGTGCTGCTTGTCCCTTGCTATGGTCTAGGGCTGTGGTCCCCTACACCAGGCCATGGACGGGTACTGGTTGGTGGCCTGTTAGGAACTGGGCCACACAGCAGGACGTGAGCAGTGGGTGAGCCCGGGAAGTTTTTTTTTTTTTTTTTTTTTTGAGACAGTCTTGCTTTGTTGCCCAGGCTAGAGTGAGTGCCATGGCGTCAGCCTAGCTCACAGCAACCTCAAACTCCTGGGCTCAAGCGATCCTCCTGCCTCAGCCTCCCGAGTAGCTGGGACTACAGGCATGCACCACCATGCCCGGCTAATTTTTTCTATATATATTAGTTGGCCAATTAATTTCTTTCTATTTATAGTAGAGACGGGGTCTCGCTCTTGCTCAGGGTAGTTTTGAACTCCTGACCTTGAGCAATCCACCCGCCTCGGCTTCCCAGAGTGCTAGGATTACAGGCGTGAGCCACCGCACCCAGCCTAGGAAGTTTTATCTGTATTTACAGCCACTCCCATCCCTCTCAACACTGCATAAGCTCCGCCTCCTGTCAGGTCAGCTGGGGCATTAGAGTCTCATAGGAGCACAAACCCTGCTGTAAACTGCACACGTGAGGGATCTAGATTTCTCACTCCTTATGCAAATCTAATGCCTGATGATCTGCGGGGGAGCTGAGGCGGTGATGCTAGTGCTGGGGAGCAGCTGCAAATGCAGATTATCATTAGCAGAGAGGTTTGTATAATTATTTCTTATATATTACGATGTAATAATAATGGAAATAAAGTACACAATACATGTAATGTGCTTGAATCATCCCAACCCATCACCATCCCTTCCCAACCCCACCCCTAGTCCGTGGAAAAATTTCCTTCCATGAAACTGGTCCCTGGTGCCAAAAATGTTGCGGACTGCAGCTCTAGGGAACAGAGGCTCGGAGAGCCAAGAGACCTGCCAAGGTCCATAGCTAGAAGCGGAGGGGCAGGTGCTCTTCCCACTCCACCACGGGGAGGGCGGGGTCTGTCCCGCGACCCACACGGGGACCCCACCGTCCAAGGGAAACAGGACGGGGGGGCCTGAGCTGTTCAGCCCAGTTCCTCTCCAGGTGTCTGCTGGGCTGATGGCCCTTCCATCACTCTTACCTGGATATTGGGGTTCGGAGCACTCAAGTCTGTGTTGGCCAATCCTGGCAGCTTCTGCAGCGCCAGCAGGCTATGCACATCCTCTGGGGCCCGGGAGGGGTGGCCCTGCCTGGAATCAGGGCTGCCCGCTCTCTGAGAGTCTGGTGCCTGTGTGCGCGCAGCCCTGGCTGCAGGCGGGTTCTGGGGAGCAGCGGTGGCTCCTCCTCTTCCCTGGAGAGCTGGGATCTGGGGAGGCTGAGGCCTGAGGGCGAGAGAGGGTGAGGGAGGGCGGGGGAGGTGACTGAGGTCAGGGCTGTGGACCCAGAAAAGGTTGGCAGGGGGTACTCAGGAGCCCTGGGGGCTGACCTCTCAGGGGTGCGGATATGGAATGTAAACCCCAAACGCTGCCTGCCTCAGTGCCCTCAGCACGTAACTGAGGGTATAGCTGGTCAGCCAGGGGACTGTGTCCACAAAGCGCTTTGACAACTGGCACCAACATGAGCCAGGAAAAGGATTAACACAACCCAAGATCTTCATTTTACAGATGAAGAAAGGGAGGCCCAGGAAGGGAAGAGAGCTGGTTAAGCAGTGGTTCCAGTGCTGACAGCCAGAGCAGGAAGGCCCCCAGGGAGGGCCTGGTCCCACATGGCGGTGGGCGGCAGGCCTGGGCCCTCCCCCTCAGCACGCTGTCTGTCCACCTGGCCCTGCCCACGCCGTCCACGTAGGGGGTGTATTCCCTGGCATCTCTGACCACAGTTCCCTCCACCTGCCGACCTGGGGCATGGCCCCTTTTCCTACACCAGGCTGCTTTGTGGCTGGCTGTCAGCCAGCCCAGCCCGCCACCAGCTACTGGCCGCGTGTCCACACCAGGACAGGCCTGGCTTCCACTCAGACGGAGGTGAAAGGCAGACCCTGGTCATGTCAGACTCCTGCTCCAGCGTTCATCTCCCAGACAGGGGGGCATGGGCCTCAGCGGCTGCCACCCACCTCCAGGCTGCTGCCATCGCCCAGGCCTCTGCGCCAGGGCAGGAGCACCTGCCAGGGCCACCGAATCTCAGGGGCCTGGCGCCTAAGGACCCTGCCTCGCTCAGGCCATGGCCTCGACTCCTTCCCGCCCCACATCGGGGCAGTGTGATGTGGCTGAAAAACACTGGCTCTAGGCCGGACACGGTGGCTCACGTCTGTAATCCTAGCACTCTGGGAGGCCGAGGTGGGTGGATTGCTCGAGGTCAGGAGTTCCAAACCAGCCTGAGCAAGAGCGAGACCCCATCTTTACTAAAACTAGAAAGAAATTAATTGACCAACTAAAAGAATATATACAAAAAATTAGCCGGGCATGGTGGCACATGCCTGTAGTCCCAGCTACTCGGGAGGCTGAGGCAGCAGGATTGCTTGAGCCCAGGAGTTTGAGGTTGCTGTGAGCTAGGCTGACGCCACTGCACTCACTCTAGCCTGGGCAACAAAGTGAGACTCTGTCTCAAAACAACAACAACAACAACAAAAAAAAAACACTGGCTCTGGAGAGTCAGAGAAGCTTGAGCTCAAATCCCAGCTCTGCCTCCTACTAACTCCTCAACTTGACAATTTTGTCACCTGCAGAATGAGGATAATAATTCCTCCCTGGAAAGACTGTCAGAATTTTATTTTATCAGATACTTCCACAGCATTTACTGTGTGCGAGGCACCGTGCTGAACACTTATTCACTCATTTCACCCCCCCACAACCCTCAGAGGTGGGTGCTGTCATCCCTGTGTTAAAGACAATGGAAACTAGGGCACAGAGAGGGCTGGTAACTTGCCTGAGCTTGCACAGACATTTAGTGGCAAAGCCAGGAGTCCAGGCCGAGCCCATACTCTTAACCATCGTGCTGTGAGAATCCCCTGGACAAATTACGGGATTAATCGGTCTAGTTTCTCACTCCCTCTGACTCTCTTCCCTTGGAAGTTTGGAAAAAGAGACTCCGAATCTTCTGTCTCTCCCGCTGTGACCTCCCCTTCTGTGGTGCCCAGATGCCTGGCTCTACGGCTCCTGCACGAAATGCCTGATCCCAGGGCAGCTGTGGGCCCATCTCTACCTGGGCCAGGAGTCTCCTGCTGAGCCAGAGCACTCTGGTCGAGACAGCAAGGCCGGATGAAGAGCGGGTGGAAGGTGAGTAATGGACAACTCGGCCCCTTCGCCGACCAGTCCTGGAGGCCTGGACCAGCCCCAAGTGCTGCCTTCCCGGCAGCTCCCACCCCCAGTTCCACCAAAGCCCTAACTGTCCCTGTGACTTTGCTCAGTGGTTCCACTCTGTCTGCAGCCTCTGGGCACAGAGACAGGCGGTCTCAGGGGGGCAGGGCCCCACAGCCTTTCGGCTGGTCTGGAGGCCCTAGCCTGGTGGCAGCTGGGCTTGCCTGTGGCAGGTGGTGCAGTGGTTCTCATCTGGGGACATCTGGCAATGTCTGGAGACATTTGTGGTTGGCACAAGTAGAAGGGGATTCTACTGGTATCTAGTAGGTAGAGGCCAGGAATGCAGCTATGCGTCCGACAACGCACAGGACTGCCCCACAAGCATTGCCCAGCCCAGAACGGTAACGGCACTGTAGTTAAGAAACTACAGTCCTGTGCCTGGGTCTGAATTCTGCCCGCGGCCTAACGTCTGACCTGTGGGGCCCTGGAGGGGACATGACCTCTGTGAGCTTCCTCATCTGTAGAATGGGAACAATGACAGGAATGAGCCTTACCCAGGCCCTGCTGTCCAGCAGATGCTCAGAATGTTCGTGTCCAGCCCTCCCCACCCTCTCCTCTCGCTGGTGCCCAGTCAACGCTGCCAACCATTGTTTGAGGGCTGCTGGGGTAGGAGAGAGGCTGTGCTCTCCAGGTACTTGAGTCTGGCCACCTACAGCTCCCAGCAGGCTCCAGTGCCAGCGGAAGCCCTCAGGCAACTGAACATGGGCCACTGGAAGTAAGGCCTGAGGAGAGATGGGCAGGACACCCAGAGCCCTGACCTGTACCAGCCCCCGGGCACATCCTATGTACTCTGAATGACCCAGCATTCAACAGCACTTGCTTCCTTAGCCAGGCCTGAGGACCATGGCAGAGGAATGGGGCTGGATTTCACCCCTTAACCATCCTCCTGATTGGTATGTACTATTCATTTTTTTTTTTTTTTTAGAGATGGGGATCTCACTATGTTGCTTAGGCTGGCTTCGAACTCCTGAGTTCAAGCATTCCTACCTCAACCTCCCAAGTAGCTGGGACTAGGTATGTACTATTCTAATGCAATCCACCTTGGCACCTAGTGGAGACCTCAAAGCTCCTCATCATAATAAGAGTGTATACATTATTCCCAGAATGGGCCGGCTTTACGGTGTGCAACCTGTGTATTTGCACAGGGCCCCACGTATGGTTCAACACTCTGCTGTTGCCATCCTGAAATACTTAAGAGGCCCCACTTTTCATTCTGTAGTGAACCCCACAAACGATGCAGTCAGTCCTGCCAAACACCCTGTATGTATTGCCTTATTGAACCCTAACAGCAACCCATTGTGCAGGTACTAGCATCGTCCTCACTTCACAGACAATGAGGCCAAGGATCAGAGAGGTGAAGTAACTTGCTTGGAGTCACACAGTTAGGGGCTGGCAGAGTGGGATTTGAGGCAGATATCTGGCTGGAGAGTCTGTGCTCTGCCAACTCCAGGCAGGGGCTGCACCTTCTGGCTTGCTGCCTGCTACTCTGTGCTGCTTAATGTGCTGAATGAACAAAACACCAAACGAGATGTTCCACTTTCCACATCCCTCTTCCCCTCATCCTCGTCACAACCTGAGACAGATCCGGAGAGTCTGGAGACGTGCCTGGGGCCCCTGGGCAGCCAGGTCTCCGGGCCCCATTCCTGGCCTCCCTTCTCTCCCCCCGCCAGCTCCCCTGTGTTTCTAACCTCAAGGGAGAGAATGGTCTGCAGGGAGGAGGAAGTCACAGCTGAGGCCCAGGGAGGAGGCCAGCTGCAGGAGAAGGCTGACGGGCAAGGCCGCAGGCTTCGCGTCACATAGACTTGGGCTCTAGTTTCCCATCACGGATTGGCCTAGAAAGACCCCACAACCAAAGAAAGCCAACCTTCAGGAAAATACATGCTACTTGGTACCTCCCAGGCGAGATCTTTCAACCCGCCAACCACATCTCTGCTGTTACCCAAGCCTTGTTTCCAGGCCACTGGCTGGACTGTAGGCCAGGACTGAAGTGCCAATGAACCAGCCCTACCGTGTGGCTTCCTCCTCCGTCCTCAGTTCTTCTCTCTTAGCCCATCCCCCTAGCAAGTGCCTCCTTCCATGGCAAGCTGGTCCTCCCCGAGGGCCGCCCTCATTCTGCCCCACGTGGGGACCCTCGATGCAGGACAGTCCTCATAGCCTGGAAGTGCTGTCCTCTCTCAGTTCTTCTCTCTTGCCTAATTCTAACCCCACCACCCTCTTGTGGCACCAAGTCCCCAGGTCCCCTTTACCCCACCCCAGGTACTTGCCTAGGAGGTGGTGGGTAGCAGGGGTAGGTGCCCAGGGGCTCTGGAATTAAGCAAGCCTGGGTTCAGATCCCGGTTCACCACATACTAACCTTGGGTTAGTTACTGGGCCTGCTGTCAGTTTCCTCACCCCTAAAATCAGGAGGACAAGGTAAGGAACACAACATGCTAGGCACAGTGGCTGTCTGGGTGGTGTTCTGATCCTAACTAGCACAGAAGCCACCCAAGGCAGAGGTACGTCATTCTTTGCCTGTCCAGCACCCAGCAAACTGCCTGGCCCCAGCCTCTTTCAATGGCAACAAAACCACCCATGTGTGGTGCTTTCTCACCCAGCACTCCATCCGACGGGATGGGTTCTTACTCTCATTTTACTGTGGAAGTAAACTGAGGTTCAGCAACAGGCCTGCCAGAGTAGGAGGTGGCACATTTTGTTTACAAGACTAATGATTTTTTTTAAGACTTCAGATGAGCAGACTGTGGCGTGACATGCAGAGATGCACCATAAGTTCCCCAGTGTGGCTCTTTATGACAGATGTGCTCCTAGCCAGGCTTAACTTCTCTCAGCCTCATTTTTTTTTTTTTTTTGAGACAGAGTCTCTCTCTGTTGCCCAAGCTAGAGTGCCATGGCGTCGGCCTAGCTCACAGCATCCTCAAACTCTCCAACTCCTGGACTCAAGCGATCCTCCTGCCTCAGCCTCCCAAGTATCGGGGACTACAGGTGTGCACCACCATGCCCGGCTAATTTTTTCTATTCTTAGTAGAGACGAGATCTTGGTCTTGCTCAGGCTGGTCTCAAACTCCTGACCTCAAGCTATCCTCCCGCCTCAGCCTCCCAGAGTGCTAGGATTACAGGTGTGAGCCACCAAATCTAGCCCTCAATTTTTTTTTGGTCTGGAAAATGGGGGATAATGTCCATGTGAAATGGTGTGACAATGAAATAACATCATAACATCATGTTAAGTAATCTGTACAGACTCTGTAAAGCCCAGAGAATGTTCCTTTCCCTTCCATCATCCTCCATTTTTAGATCTGGGAGTGGTTTATGTTCTTCAGCTTCTTTTTTTTTTGAGACAGAGTCTCGCTTTGTTGCCCAGGCTAGTGTGAGTGCCATGGTGTCAGCCTAGCTCACAGCAACCTCAAACTCCTGGGCTCAAGCGATCCTACTGCCTCAGTCTCCTGAGTAGCTGGGACTACAGGCATGCGCCACCATGCCTGGCTAATTTTTTCTATATATATTTTTAGTTGGCCAATTAATTTCTTTCTATTTATAGTAGAGACAGGGTCTCACTCAGGCTGGTTTCGAACTCCTGACCTCCAGCAATCCGCCCGCCTTGGCCTCCCAGAGTGCTAGGATTACAGGCGTGAGCCACCTCGCCTGGCCTATTCTTCAGCTTCTTCATCAAGGTCTTGGGGCTGGGGCTAGTCAGTTATTTTGACACACCACCCAAGTCCCTGGAATAGCAGACTGCAGTCTCTCAATGTGACTCCTTAACTAACACCTTTGACATGTAACAGCTTTAACACAAATCACACAGACTTGTGGGACAGTGTCAGAGCTGCATAGGACCACGGAGAGGACTTAGGTTCTCTTTATAAACGCGAGGAAATCATCCAAGGTGAGTCACCTATGCCTTAATGAGCCCCTGGGACTGGAACTCCAAGCCCCGGGCTCTAAGCTCTGCTTTTCCTTCAAGGCACTCATTTGCTTGAACATGTTTTTCAGGACTCTGCCAGGCCCTGTACTGGGGCTGAGGATATGACTTTGGCTCTGAAATAATTCATCTTCTAGGCTGTTCTGATTGGGGGAAGATTTAGCAAACATACTAAAAATAATTATACAATACAAAGCAGTAAGTACTAAAATAGAAAGGATTTATGCCAAGTGGGCAGAAAGAATGCCAATTTAATTAATTTTATTACCACTGTCATCTCTACCTAGGAGGAGGGACTGGTCAGAGGCCTCTGAATTTGTCTGCAGCAGCGGTTCTCAACAACCGCAGGGTGGCTGGGATGTCCCTCAGGAAACACTTGGCAACGTCTAGCCGTGTCTGGAAGAAGGGTGCTACAGGCATCTAGTGGTGGGGCCAGGGAAGCTGCCAAACATGCTGCATGCACAGGACAGCAGCCCTCTACCACACTGAATTATGTGGCCCTAAATGACCCAAGAGCCGAGGCTGAGAAACCCTGGTCTACAGGAGGCGTTCTCAACAGGAACAAAAATTGGATGGGGGGTGGGGTACTGCTGTGACAAATATCTCAGAGATTACAATGGTTTGTGACACTCCAAAGGGCCACAGTACATAAACAGATAGCATATCTGTGGTATTAAAATTTCATGGGGGCAGTGGTGACAGAAAAAAATCTAAAAGCCTCCTTAAGGGGTGCAGAAGCAAAGGCACTGGCCTATAGACTCGCTCAAGTAGTGCAGCGCAGCGGGGCCGTTCTTCCCACGGCCTCCTCGGGAGGCCTTCAGCAGCCCGGCACCAGCCGCACAGCCTGAGCGGGCTCTGGCTAACAATGTCCCGCACCCTGCATGCCTGCCCGGGCCCCTCAGTGCTCTCATCTGGAAAATGGGAAGCACCACTCTGGGCGTCTCCTGTAACAGCTCAGCCCGTGGAAAGACCGAGGACCCAAGACCACACAGGCCTGCCCCTGCGTGCCCGGGGACCAGTCTGGCCCGCTCGGTCCCCGTGGGGGTGAATGTCCACTGCAATCCAGGGGGCAACAAGCTGGACTGTAGACCCCTCAGTGACTGGGGTCCTGACCATGGCTTCTCTCCGCGGCCAAACCACTCTTCCATCTCATTCTTGGTTTGTACCCCGACGGCCCACCCACAGGCCACCAGGAAAGCGCCCCCCCACATCTTAGTGACGCCTTCTGATTTTCCAGGCACAGAACAATGTAGGAGTCTCTGGACAGCCCCTGCCACCCAGCAGCTGGAGAACCCCACTCTACCTGGGCTTGTTTCAGGTGCCCCCCACGGGCGTCTGTGACTGACGGAACGTCGGCAGCCCCAGCCTGCCACTCTGCGGAGCGCCGCCTTCCTCTGGCACCCGCGCCTCTCCTCTCCGGCGAGCGCACCTGGCCAGGGCGGCTGCAGGCAAGGCTCGCTCAGGGCGACGGAGGGGGAGTGGGTCCTGTAGAGTGTCGGCGCACCTCACCCGGCACGGAAGTGACACTTCTCCCCAGGCTGGCCCGCTGCAGCAACCCCATATCTCGCGGCCAAGCGCACGGAGCGGGACCCCCCCCTCACCTCCGCCAGCCTCGCGGCGCCCTCAGGGGGAGCCCTCGCGCCGCGGCCAGCAGCGCCGCCAGCAGCGCCACGCCGAGGAGCAGCCCCGCTCGGCCGGGGGTGGGGTGGGGGGTGGGGGTGGACACATCGTCTGCGCCCCCGCGCCCCCGCGTGGCCCGCCTGTGTGCGCCCGCCTCGCGTGCTCCGGGCCGCGCCAGCGCCGGGGACTAGAGAGGGGCGTCCGGACGGCCGCGCGGGACGGAGGGGCGCGCACTCTCACACCCTCTGGGGCCCCAGCGCCGCGTGGGCGCCCGCGCCACTCTCCTGGTGGGCGCACCGGATGGCCCCCGCCCTCCTCAGGGGTGGCTCCTGGGCGCTCCTGGGCACGTCCTGGCCCAGCAGGGGGCTCCTTTTTATCTGCCGCCTCTCGTCCTCAGTTCCTGCCGTTGTCGCCGTCGCAGCCTCTAGCGAATTTCTGCTCCGGGGACGTTGCCACCCGGCGCTCTCCAGCCCTGCGCTGCGACTCCCGCGCGGCCGGGCGTCGGGAGCCACCTCCGCTTCCCCGACGGCGCTGCGACTGCGACCCGGCCTGGCAGGGCCTCGTGCGCGAGGCCAGTGGGCGAGCGACGAGATCTTCGGACCTTGGGCAAATGTTTATTTGCGCATCGAGGTAGGTTTGTTTGGGGAGGAAGCCTGGAAGCGACTCCCCCAAAGCTCTTGCAACTCCGCTACTTGAGGTGGAGGCCCGAGGACAGGCCCTGACCCAGCGCCCGCCGCTCTGCACCCAGTTTCCTCCGAGCTCTCCCCGCATTTTCGAAGCCGGGAGAAAGTTGAGGCTCGGGGATAGAAGATGAAGTCCCAGAAAGACAGCAGGGAGACACGTTTGTGGGGAGTGGTCAGGCCATCCTGCCAGGTAGCTGGGTGTCACCTAATTTTGTCCTGGATCCTCCCGCTTAGGCCACGTGGGTCAGCATAATGGCCTCCTATGAGTGACTGAAATAAAACCTTTGTGGGAAAGATCAGAAACTCCGAGGGGCAGGGAGGGGGCGGTTAGCCAGTGTGAGCCCAGCGACATAGGACAGGTGGAGGGGTGCGGGCAGGGCAGTGAGGAGCAGTGGAAGGCTTTAGGGAGATGCCACCCAGGGGCCACCTGAAGGAAGGAGCACAAGGGCTGACTCAGGGTTCAGGGCATGGGATCCTTGGAGGTGGTGAAGAGGATGGCCAGAAAGCCCAGCCATTGGTGTAGCACTGTTGGGGTCTGGCTGGAGCCAGAGTTTTACTCTGGGGACAGGGGAGTGTGCGGTTTTCCAGAACTACTCCTGTTCCCGAGAGCACAGCCTCAGGGCTGTTTTGAGCCTGCATCTGGAGTCGGCCCCTGGGACCTGAATGCTGCTTTTACCCTTTACTAAGTAGGTAAAATTATCGGCCAAGTTACTTGGCCTCTGTGCTGTTGTCACCTATAAAGGTGTGTGTGTTGGAGGGGGTTACCCACCCCATGAGTGTGAGGAGAAAACTTAGGAAAGAGGCCATGGAATGTGGACGTGAGCATCAAAAACAAAAAATCTGCCTTGTCTTCCTATAAGTCAACAGTTTGTATAGTTTCCTGTAAACGTGTGAAATACTGAAAGGCTTCTGCTCCCTCTACATCTTCCTTGAGAAGTGTCTAGAACTCAGTACTTCTTGGGCCCTGACCTTGTCAAATGTTTTTATTAGGATGAACTATGTGAAGTTACCATGTTCTGGATAAAAGGTTGAATATTGGCAATTTCATAAGGTTCAGCTTAGTAAGATGTCTGGTACCTGGCAAACACTCGAATGTTAGCCAAAAGAAACCTAGTTTTTGAGCATCTGCTACATTACATTAAATTTACTAGACTAAGGGTGAGACACTTTGTTCTTTTTCATTTTGGGGTTTTTTTTTGTAAAAGTATTTTCACATTCAGCCAAGTATTTTGTCTTTTCAACACATTTTTGGAAAATAATGAGTTTGTTCATTCTTTTTTTTTTCTATATATATTAGTTGGCCAATTAATTTCTTTCTATTTATAGTAGAGACGAGGTCTCGCTCTTGCTCAGACTGGTTTCTAACTCCTGACCTTGAGCAATCCTCCCGCCTCGGCCTCCCAGAGTGCTAGGATTACAGGCATGAGCCACCACCCCGGCCAAGTTTGTTCATTCTTGAGTAGCTATCTCTGTGTCAGTCACTACCACTGGACTCCACCAAACCTCTCCCCGGGGAATGCTATATTATAAGAGCCTAGTTGGTTCTGCTGTACCCACTCTTGTTCTCACCCAGCCATGAAGCTGATTATCTTTTTCTTTTTTTAATCATCTTCACTGAGGTCTAATTTACATATGATACAACACACCCATTTTAATTGTACAATTCAGTAAGTTTGGACAGGTGTATAAATCCATGTAACCACTGCCACAATCATGCTATAGAACCTTCACTTCATTCCAATTTCCTTGAGTGTGTTGCAGGAAAAAACTGCATCAGTGGAAAACTGTGCATTGTCTACATACAGTAAATCCTTTCAGGTTATCTTTTATTGTCTGAGCTATTACTTCGCAGGTTGTAGGTAACTGGTGGCAAAGCAAAATAATTCTTGTTAATAGAAATGTAAATTCTGGGCCAGGTGGGGTGACTCATGCCTGTAATTCCAGCACTTTGGGAGGCAGAGGTGGGAGGATCACTTGAGGCCAAGAGTTTGAGACCAGTTTGAGCAAAAATAGGAAGACCTCATCTCTACAAAAATTAGCTGGGTTTGGTGGCCTATATCTGTAGTCCCAACTACTCAAGAGGCTGAGGCAGGAGGATCACTTCAGCCTCGGAGTTTGAGGTTGCAGTGAGCTCTGATGATGCCACTGCACTCTAGCCTAGGCAACAAAGCAAGCCCGTCTCAAAAAAAAAAAATGCAAATTCTGTCCTGTTCTATTCAATTGACTTCTCTCTCCCAGAATGGAAGAAAGCAGTTTTGCCTTCATTTCAGTATTCCTGATCTATAAATACTTGTTTTTCAGTATCTCTCCTTTGAACTGGTTTTAACATTCTTACTAGTTTCCTCATTAATAAGTTAAATAAAATCTTTAACATGTATTCATTTTTATGTCCATAAGAGTCATGGTTTTACATTGTTTTGAAAATTATTTTTTAATAGTCTCTCTGTATAGTTAAACCCCACTCCCGACCCTTGACTCCCAGCAACCACTAATCCCACTCTGTCACCATAGGTTAGTTTTGCCTTTTCTAGAATTTCATATCAATGGAGTTATATTTGTGTATTCTTTTGTGTTTGGTGTCTTTCAGCATGTTCTGAGCGTCATCCATCTTATCATAGGTATTAGTAATTTGTTCTTTTTCATTGCTAATAGTCTAGCATATGGACAAGTTGTTTATTCATTCACCATGACGGCTTCTGAGTTATTTCCAGTTTGAACCTATAATATTAAGAAGAAAATGGCCACAAATACTCAAGTGTAAGTCCTGGGGTAGACATGCTTTCATTTCTCTTGGGTAAATACCCATGAGTGGAATTGCTGCCAAAAAAAAAAAAGCCAAATTGTTTTCTTAAGTGGCTGTACCACTTTGCAAGTTTCAGTTGCTCCATATCTTTGCCAGTGCTTGATACTGTAATCGGTTTTAATTTTAGCATCCTAGTGGGAGTGGTGGTAGAATCTTACTGTAGTTTTCATTTGCATGCAATGATGTTGACCATTTTTTCATGTGCTTATTGGACATTAGTATACCTCTTTTTGTGAAGTGTTTGTTCAAATCTTTTACATATTTTGTTGAGCAGACTTTATAGTATT